TGCCCGCGGGCCCGCGCGAAAAAAGCCCTATTCTGCCTTGCGAGGGTCTATCATTCCTACAGCCCTTTCAGGTTGCTGGACTTCTACAAGAATGGCCAGTCGGCGGACCAGCAGAAACAGAGAAAGGCGGAAGCTTTTTCAGTACCATCCCCACATAATCTCAACCATCCCCATATGTATCCCTGACTTATATGACCCCTGAAATCCTTAACTACCTTAAAGCTTACATGATTGAAAGGATCCCCTTCATTTTGAGAGAAGTCTTCAGGTTGACCAGGAGGCCATACAGATGGCGATTCGTGCGGCCCTCGGTCAAACTGAGTTCCGGCAGGACGCTGCCTGAAGTTTTGTATGTATGTGTGTGTAAGCATGTATGTATGTAGGTAGGTATGTATGTATGTATGTATGTATAGATAGTTAGATACAGAGATAGGCAGATAGATACATAGAAAAAGGCATACACAAATATACATATGTGTCTAGTCCGTTTCCTTCAAATCACTGACACTGAACCCAGAAGCTTCATGTCATCGTGCAGGTCTGTAAGGAGAAATGACTTGCAACATGACAAGTTATGATGGTTTGCAAGGCCAGAACCAGGAAAGACTTCGGCGAGAAGCAGAGGAGTGGGCTGCGTGGCAGGCGTACGTCCAGCAGATGCAGGACACGAACCTTTGAAGTTGTCCAATAGCATTTTCTCCCGTTTTAGGCGGCCGCCTTTAGAATACGAATCGCCATTGTCAACAACAAATATACCGCAAGCGTAAGGTACACAGCCTACGCCATTGCGGCTCAGCAAGCCATGCAACAGCAGATGATGCAGCAGATGGCCATGCAACAACATGCCATGCAGCAGCAGGCCATGGCAATGCAGCAACAGGCAGTGCATGCTGCTCCCCAACAGATGATGCAGCAAGGCTGGCAGCAATACCCACAACAGGCTCAGTCTATGTATGGCAACCAGCAGATGTTCCAGATGCCTGCGGAGTGGGTGCTATATTATGACCAGCAAGGGCAGCAGTACTATTACAACGAGAGGACGGGTCAAAGCGCATGGTCCCTCCCACCAGGAACCAATTTCAGACATGGAGCATGTGGCGGCTGCGGTGGCTGCGGCGGCTGCGGCGGCTGCGGCGGCTGCGGCGGCTGCGGCTGTGGCGGCATGCCTTACGGACAGCCCATGCAGCAGATGTGGGGTCAACCTGGCTACCAGTCCTGGGGCTAAGCCCAGCTTGGCTGCCTTGTTCAGTTTATTGCAGCCAATGGCTGCTCCCAGATGCCCCGCTGTCCTGGCCACAGCGGTAGAGCTGCTTTGTGAATAGTTGGCCAGGTCATTATGTGAGGCTGCTCTGTCGAGCTCCTCCTCTGCGCACTTTCAAGCGTATTACCAGCATATTACCAAAAGCTCGATGCTGACCCATCGAAAACGGGAGGTTGCTTCGTTTCTTGCAAAGGGCTTGGCATGAGGTCTCATCTCAGACTGTTTTCAGCTTGTCAGTCCTTGCGTAGCAGCTCAACTTTTTGGTCTGAGGCGCTGTCAAGTTTTTTGGGGTCAGTTGCTGGTATCGGAAGACCCCTTGGCTCAAGGATCTGCCGATCATGTGGAGGGGGGTACGATAATATAGGGGGTATAGTAAGAAAAGGATACAAATATTGGGGTTATACTTTGTTGTTTGCAGCGTGGAGTTTTTAGATCTACGGGGTTGCATAGCAGGTCAAGCGGGCAGTTGCATTCAGCCGTACAGGGCTGTACTAGTCCGGAGTGAAGGTCGCGAGTAAGCTAGCGTGTTGTAGCAGCCGGATATTTCCCTTGCTGCATGTGGGTGTTCTCCAGGCTTGCGTCTTTGCCGAACCTTGCAACTCGTAGTCCAAGCGTTGGTCAGCAAATGGCTGGTCACGCAACTACCGCCTGCCATCTGCATGAAGTTCGATGAGGTCGGCAGATGGCATGCTTAGCACAGTTTAGGAAGCAAACGAGTTCACCTCATACAGCCTAATACAGCCCCCTTAAATTGGATTCCCCATGTAATTTCCCAAGATAGGGGGAGCCCAATATAAAACCCCAAATGCTACACTCCTTCTTAGGGGACAGTTTGGGAAACCCCCATATCCCCTTAAAGGGCTTCGTAGCTGCCAGGTTGCACGACATGATCACGAGTTCACGCCGCAGACCCTCCGTGTACTTGCCAAGCAGCAGGCCAAGGAGGCGAGAGATTCCAAAAGCTGAGCTGCAACATACATTTTTAGGGGTTTAGGGTTTAGGGGTTTAGGGTTTAGGTGTTTAGGGTTTAGGTGTTTAGGGTTTAGGTGTTTAGGGGTTTAGGGTTTAGGGTAGGATTTCTTAGGGTCTGTTTCGGGTTTAGGGTGTAGGCTTAGGGTAGATTATCGGGTTCAACTGTAAGGGCCTAGGGTTCATTTCTTCCAAAATTTACTCGCTGAGACCTCTATCCCAAAAGATGCCCAAACTGCAGAAGCTTAAGCTGCAGTCATATCTCGCAATTGCAATTTTCCTTTCCATAAGTCACTTGAGTAGTTTCCATGTTCCAGTAGTCAGTTTGTGCAATTGCTGCCATCGTTTTCCAGCGGATTTTCCACTTTCTGTTTCGTTGGTTGGTTGATCGAGCGGTTCTCGTTTCCTTTCCTATCAATGTTTTCTTACTTGACAAGAAAAGGGAACCCAGGATGTTGCAGCAGTTTCAATGTCGAGCGGCGAAGAGAATGGTGGCTAGTTAGCACAGACATTGGACCTGATCAATATAGAACCTACAACCTGTAAAGGGAGGCTCTGTTTTCTTGCTTTCTGTTATCCTTCCCCAAACTGAAGCTGCCCTTTCTACACCCCAGAATCCCCTAAACCCGGCCTACACCCCTAAGAGCCAAATAGCTTTGTGAGGGCCCTGTATCCGACAGCGTGCGGAAGGCTGTGGCTTTGGCCTGCGAGGCCTTTTGCCAGCCGATCCCTTGATTGTTTACACTTCCGATTTTGTTTGTCAATGCCAAAGACATGCCATGAGCATGGAATCTAGAATACCGTAAAACGAATACAGAGTTGTAGCTCTGTTGCTTTGAATGCTTCATGGAAAAGAAGCTGGAAAGTATTTCATTTTCTGAAGATGAAGTATTAATCTCTAAGGGGTTCTGTGGCCTGGCAGATTCTCCGCGCCAGGGAAGCGAGACCTTCTCTGTGCGCACACTGGGGGCACTGTGCCGGCAAAGGCGCGTGCCAGCTTTTCCCACCTCACGGCGACGATTTGGGGGGTTCTGAAAGAAATCGGCTGTAGTGAGCCCTCTTACCCCCAACAATTAAAACGCAAATGGAAAAGAACATGGAAGATGAAATGGATTAATATCAGTTGTAAATACACGCAGTTTAG